TCTGTTTCATCACATTTATATAAAAACTAAATGAAAAGATTGGCAGGACACTCACATCGGCTTATCTGGTCATTCTATAAGGACTATATAGACCTTGTTGTAGTGAGTTATAAAAAAATGGGGCAAAAAATAATAATAAAACTTCCAGATAGCACCATGAATTTTATGCTAGCTAAAAATTCAGAAAAAGTGAAGTGGTGACGAAATGGTGTCGTCATTCTTGCCAGACCCACCAATTACGTTAGAAAAACGCTCAACATTTGCTAGTTTCGAATTTGTTGCATATTTAATGAGCATGGAAGGTTGTGATATAGCAGGTGCGTTATAAATGACATGAGTTGTATCTTTATAAAATTTTCTTTGCTTCGAGGGATAGAAGCATAAATTGGTTGGATGAACGATGAAGGAAAATATGCTAGGCACTGTTGGCTTGTAAACTATAAAAGGATACTTGGCTAATGCATTGAAATTTATGAAAATGCGTCGAGCAGAACGTATTTTGAAGGTAATGAAATTTTACAAATAAATTTGCTAAAAGATAGGACAATTTAGTTATAAAATGAAATTCATGAAATGATGTAATAAAAATATTACAAAGGAATAAGTAAGTCTATAGAAGATAGACTAATATGAATATGATTAATATGAAGTCTTTATTATTATTGTTATATAGTATTCGAGAATATAATATGTATTACACTGCGTGTGAGGTATAATATTTTATTTGTAATATGTGTGTCTGTAATCAAGAAATTACTTATATATAATAAAAGAAAAAAAACAATTACATTTGCTTAAAACTTTAGTCAATAGAAGCTTAAGTTTTTATTTATTAGAACTAGAGGTTTGCAACGAATATTTTTTATGTTTAAAATTGTTTATAATATTTTTAATAATATTTTTAAAAGTGTTTTTCTACTCATTAAACTAATTTTCTATTAGTTTTTTACGCTAATACCGTTTCTGCTTATATTTTAAGAAAAGAAAATATTATTAGGCACCAGATAACTCATTAATTTAATATTCTGAGTACTTTTTGTGGTTTTGGCGTAGCCAATGTAAATGCCGAAGACAAAAGCAATGGATTTAAAAATATTTTAACCTAAATTCTACTTAAACATAATATAAATTAATTTCAATTCATTAAAAGCTATATATTTTGATGATTTTGTTATTTTAGAAACTCGAACTTGTATAACTTGTGTGTAATGTAATGTAAATTCATCTAAACAAAAGTGCAAATGAATTCCAATCAAAGCAAATCTAATCAAATCAAATTAAAATATTCTATTAAATTTGAGTATATTTAAATTTTAATTACAAAAAATAATACAAATTAAGCACATGCACAATTATATCCTCAGGTTTATATAAATGATTTATCTATGAGATACATACATACATATTTAACGCGCATTAAATGCGAACAAATTCATTACTCGTTAACGCTCAAGCAGAAAATAGCAAGGATACCACTAACACCGATGCACGTAATGCCTCACTTCCAATTCGCACAGATATTCTCTATTTAACACATCCGAAAGTATCGGCATTCGTGGACCTATGTTTTTGTTCCTCATTCATCACGCAAATTAGTCTAATTCAAATGCAAATTAGTTTAATTTATCTGTGGGGTCTGCAATATTTCGGGTTTACCTAAAACAATTAGAACACAATACGTACGAGAGAGAATTCATTCATTAAATCGAATAAAAGCAAAAAAAGTTAATTAAATATGCAAAGCTCGGTGCACTCTGGGTTTTAGGTTTGTTGTTAGTTTTGTAGTGACAGGACATTGTTTTGCTAATTATGGAAATGCTAATTTAGTTAGATTAATATGTGAAGGATATATTTTGCATGTATTTTTAGTTTTTGTTCACAACATTCTCTCTTGAATTCAGCAATAATTTTAACGAAATTAGATTAACATCTGAATATGAAATATCTGATTAAATACTCGTACCTTTCAATATCAGAAAATTTTAATATTGAATACGCCTATGGACACCACTATACTATATAAGAAAGAAAACCATTTGTGGTGGCGAAAGAAAGATAGAAGGTGACAGTGATGCAAAGGCAGAGGGAGGTAGATGTTCTAATAATGACCCTAGTGATGACCCAAGTGTAAAAGAGTAATAACAATTTTAAGTAATTATAAATGGTTTTTAAATTGTTTTGGAAGTAACACCCAACGACATCCTCAACTTGTGTGATAACAGAAACTCCACAAGTTATGTTAGGTGTAAAAGTATTAAATTCATTTTTTCAGTTTTTTCTTTTCTTATACCGAACACCCTATATGTTAGAGTATCAGACTTCATATAACCAGGTTTTTTTTGTGTTTCTAAGGTGTCTACTGTATTCATACCAATTATTATTCTCTTACTTGAAATTCAAGGTGTTATATTTATTCAACAAAAGGCTACAAAACATATTACCAAGTCTTGGTTTTGCACATATATTTCCGTTTTACAAACATATATACGTAAAAGTATTAATATTGCATTCGTCTCTTCTGCAACAATGAGTCTAAATAATTATAATGGTCGGATCATGGTACACATGATTTCAGAAACTGGGTCACTTTTGTATGGTAACAACTCAAACGAACAGTCGGGGACGAAAACACAAATTAGTTAAATTCTAATTGCGTTTCCAATTATTCAAATTAGTTTCGAGGCGACTTTATAACAAAAATGGAGAAAATCTTGTGAAGGCAAAATGTTTTATAGAAAAGTTTTAAAACTTATTTAAGTAACTTAGTTCAAGTGAAGCAGTAGAACTTTGCATGTAGTGAAATTTTACATTGGTATTTATTCTTACAATGAAGTTTTTTCAACATTTTCTACCAAAGAAGAAAGAATTTATCTGTTACTGAGTTCTGTGTTATCTTTGTGTAATTCATATTCTTAAGGAATATGAGTGTCAGACAACAATAAAATTTTTCGAAATAATATTTCGAATATTGAACTGTAGTAGTTGCACTATGTATAAACGAATACTATAAGTACTAGAAAGAAGGTTGCCCTGGAAAATCTATTTCTTGATTTATTAAAAGACCAGATATTAACAATTGCTTTGAAATGTATATAAATATCTACTCTGAAAAATAATGCGTATTGTTCTTCAAATTTTTTTTCTAATTGTGAATATTTCATTTTATACATTTTTTTTTGTATCAAAAGTCAATATTATAATAAAATTATTTTAAATTAATCTCATATTTTTATTTCTGTTGGTTTTTAAATGTTGGCATTTTATTGAATTTACATATTTGCTCAATAAAATAAAATCCGCTTGAAGGGTTTAAACAAACACTTCTGTGCTTTATTTTTCCCGCAAAGGGCATAAGTTCTACTTAAACGGAAATTGCCAGTGAAAAATGGCGATGCTCCCAACGTTCGAATGCAAATTGTATCGCCTTTTGTAACAGCGGAGCTAAACGATAATTCGATAAAATGTAAAACGCATATTTCCATTAAAAAAATATGGAAACACAAATGTGGAAAATATTCTTTTGATTTCTGTTAACTTAATACAATCGAAAGAGTTTTGAATTTCAACAACAGGACGAAACCCTTAAAAAAAGTTTATATTGAAAGCATGACACCTTCGACACAGAAATAATCCAGTTGAGAAATCCTGTTTTCATATTGATTTTTTTTGTTTGATTATATATTTATTTATACACAATATATAAACTTATATACCTATAAGAAGCTTTCATTTATATTTATAATATAAACTTTTAAACCTACAATATATTGAAAACGTGCTGTCTAAATAATTGTCTAGATACTTGGCGGAGAAATCATGATAACCTTTGAGACATCTTTTTATTGGAGTTTATCTATATGTTTATTTGAACAAATCCAATTTTAGTTCTCTAACACAAGCATTTTAGATAGAGTACAATGTCTTTTAAGAAAAACTCTTAAGTATATTTATTGTTCACTTTATTAAGAGAGGAAAACATGACCCATAATTTTTTCTTCATTATGGAAAAACCATACCATCGTGTATGTGTAGATAAGTCCGTATTCTGATTTAATTTAATGTTGTAGATTATTTCACTTTAAGTAAGTAGGCAGAGTGAAAGTTGCTAGAATATCATCAGCACTAGTACTGATATGCATGACTGGTGAAACTAACTGAGGAAATTTTGAACTATTGAAGAATTTAGAAGTATCAGGCTCCAAAGATGTTTTCCAGCATTTAGTGGAAGGCATAGTACATAACTTGTTCCTTGTCATGATTGCGTATTCGTACATCACGCCAATCAGTGCTTGTAGTTAATACATTTAATTTATATAATATTGATATTTTATTGTTTTTGAGAGAGCGTAATGCTAGTTTCGGAGAGAGAGAATTGTTTTTGAGAGAGCGTAATGCTAGTGTCTTTCTTTTTGGAGATAGATTGCAGATGTTTGATTTTGTATCGCACTGTAACTGTAAATTTGCGTTGCAGTCATAAGTCACCATTTGAAAATCGGACATAGACGTGAGAAATTATTTATACTCATACATACATTGTACCACAAACTATGCACAAGCTAACACATAACACTTATTATTATGTTGAGGCTAGTTGAGTCAGTGCACCTGAGCACTTTTACTCTCTATTAACTGCGAGGTTTCTTCAAGACCCCTCTTTGCGTCTGGACTGGATTATTGTTTATCACTTCATCAGACTAAGCAATAATTGACCTCAGATCTGCATACCTCCCCGAGGAGCCTGTAACCATTCTGAGATTTGATAACATAACACTTATAATCTTATTAATTTATTTCTTTATATATAGTTTATAAAACTATGTGCTTTTTACACATAGTTTAGATAAGTTTAGTTTATGTTATTATAATGTGCGAATTAAAAAATCTATAAACCCTTTAGAGATGGGTTTAGATTTTGCTGCAAGTTCTACCTTTACCTTATAACTAAAATACAGTACTTCATTTCTTGTTGATATATTGTTTAATAATATTCTATTGCGAAATTAATTTTTAAATTCTAATCAATTATATATTTACGATTTAAAATTTTGAAACTGGCGGGAAGATTTAAACTATTATACTTAACTTATTCCGTATTTAGAGGTTTAAATGTCCTAAACCTAAGCCATGGTGGATCGTTCCAATCTGCACAATAACGTTGCAGTTCTTCAGCATCACATTCAGCTGCCTCTGCAGCACGTTGCGCTGCCACAATTTGTGTTTCATAGTAATTTGCGAAGTCAGGACGGTTCCAAATACTGCCCACGTAATTCAAGTTGAAATCGTATTTCGGACATATGCAGTAAATCTTGGCTCGGTAACACTTCATGCATTTAGCATGTGAACGACCGGAGTGTATAAGAGCCGGCCTGGCTTTCCTCTTGCAACAATGTGGACATCTATGATCCTCTTTCTCCACATCAGGTTCAGCATACGTTTCTAATGCTTCATCTTTGGTGAAGATAAGATGACCTTGCTTCTGGTTACAGAAACAACATGTGCACTTCTTCGTTAATTTCTCCTTTCGCCTGTCTTGTTTACGTTCATAGTATCTTTTGAATGCATTTTTAATTTTCGCCTCAAAACCCAATGCCTCATCAATTGGTAATTTATTATATTCACAATAATGTTCAGCTATTCTTTTAGCTACATGTATCCATATAGTTTGTTCTGTATAGCAGGTCAATGGCATAGTTTCATTAGGGCCTAGGAAACTTGGCTTGTAGTAAAAACCTTTAAAGCCACGCTTGATGATTGCGTAAGCTAAATGTGCCTCTACACGATTCATTAGACATTTTCGACCTAACTCATGAAACAGATCTTCTTTCCTGAGACGCTTTCTCGGTAACACATCAACACAGTAACAAACTTCATCGTAATTAAGTAGCATGTATGTAACAGTATCTACAGTCGAATCCGCCTTGCAGTCATGTATACCGCAGATCTTCATTACTTCAGCTAAGGTCTTTGCCATGTCAATGAGGTTTTCCAAATACAGTGACGAAGTATTCAGGTCAGTTAAACACTTACACTCATACGTTTTGTCCACAAAGCCCAACTTGTTTTTATTTCGGCATTCCTTATGCTGGCAGTTAGTACCGCAACGATGCCTAAACGCAACGTGGGCCATTGCAATGGTTGAGTTTAATTAAATTATAATTTAGTCCTTCCACTTTTACAAATTTTTTTTGTTTTTTGAATTAATATAATGTCTAACAAACAATTTTGACATTAGCTCAATGTTACTTATCAAAAATACATAAATACAAAAAATACAATTTTGATTTATTACGAAAATTTAACTTCTATAGTCATTTAAAGCTAACTACGATCAAATTTATAATTTTTATTAAAACAAAGTTGGTAATATGGATTCTGCTTTGTAGAACTAAAGATAGCGATATAACTCAAGTCAAAACTCACTATATGTTTGGAATTTATTTTATTCTCTTAAAGGATATCATGTTTTATAGCTTTCAATTTTGAATGCAAATGGAAAATAGCATTATTTCATACTGTTCTATTATCAAGGACACATTAAACCAATCTGAGAGGTCTCATTCAACATTACTTTCCTCTACCTCACATTTTATTGTAGGTATATTCAACCAAGGTGGGTCGAACCAATCCTCACAAAACACTTCAAGTTCTTCTTGAGTGCAAAATGGGTGGCCACCGAGAATAGTATACTTATAATATTCATGAAAATCATGCCATTCCCAAATACTACCAACCCACTGCAACTCAAATTTACCCTTGAAGCATATGCAGTTCTTTCTTAAGCGCAAGCATATGGGACAAATCAGTTTTTCTGGTTTTTTGGTCTTTTTGCCTTTGGAAGTGATTTTAATCTGTTTTTTGCAACAAATTGGTTTATATGCCGGAGGTTTACAAGGCGGTGGTTTAACAGCTATTGGCTTGCGATGCCTACTGCAGAAGCAACAGTTGCACAGATCATATGTCGTAGCTACTCTTGGTTCTTGTGTTCTTATATAGAACTCCGATAGCAAAGCAAGAATTTTTTTTTCATAACGGCGTTGTTCAGTACAACTATGTTTTTTATAACGCGCCAATTCTTCTGCAATTCTCTTAGCTGCATTAGCCCATACACATGCTCCGATATCGGACTGATTCTCATCGTCTTCATTGCAACATTTTTTCGGAACAAAATATAAAGCTTTAAAGGCTCGCTTTATAATTGTGTATGCGATATGAGTTTCTAGTCTATCCATTTTTAATCTTTGGCTAAGTTCAAAAAATAGGTCTTCCTTTCGTATACGCTTTTTATCTGAACTACAATAGCATTGTTCATCGTAATTCAATAGGGCATAGGTAATAACATCTACGGAATTTTTCGCTTTACACGGATGAATGCAGCAGGTGATCATAACATGAGCAAGTGTATTTGCCAAATCGACAACGTTTTCGATATATTGTGATAGACTGGTAGTTTCACATACTCCCTTGCATTGACACGTTTTGTTGTAGATATCAAGGTATGCCGATTTTCGCTGACATTCTCTATGGTGACAATTGCTGTATACACGATGCATTGGCAATTGTAGGTGAATCGGTTTAAATTTTGCGGACTTCATTTTCTTTTATTTATTTTTAATTTTGGGCGATCCAAACATTTTTACTATTTTTGACTTTAACATATGTGATTTTTTTTTCAATTTTCTTCACACTTTTTAATAATAAATGTTTTTTAATAAATTTGACAAGAAAATATTAACTTTGCTAACACAATTAAAAATATTAATACATTATAAACATGCATACAATAAATTCGCATCATTCTCTAAAGAAAATATTATAATGGATCTATTCTTAGGTGGGTTTTTTCTACACCTGTCTACTGATACAGAGAGCTGTTCGAATAATAGTCTTTTGGAACCATTTTCAAACTTCTATTAAAATATTCTGTCTTCGAAGCTTTAGATTCGAAATAATTCCATAGATTCTCAACATTCTCAAGAGGAAATCATAAACTAAGCTAAACAAGCTTATAAATACCATATTTAAAGTATTTTATATATTTACTCATCAACAGTGACTACCATACTTATATGCTATGGAATTGATTTCTCATAGGTGATATATATATATATATATATATATATATATATATATATATATATATATGTAAGACTTATATATGTGATAAAAATCAAATAACAGATTGCAAAGACAAAGGCAAAAAATATATTTTTTATCGAAAATGTGGCTAGGTGTTTCTCTGTTCAGAAACGCGATTTCCGCTGTTGAATAGTTATTAGTAACCTTTTGTGAAATAGAATTTAACATCAACCAAAAGAAATTAATACTACTTATCTACCCACGCCATAGAAGTGTACTTCATTATGGAGATCGCTCAGATTTGTGACAGTCGATTTGTGACCGATTGAACCTTGCTAATAAATACGCCTCTTCGGTTGTGTATTGCAAGTGATAGGACACTTACTTTAGTTCCCATCTATCCCACCCAACCTCTTTCGTATTAAGGCAATGAGTATTGAGGTTGAATCAATGCTTTCTGTTGGATGTTTAACACTCAAACAGTTAGTATATATCAATATCAATGCAAACAAGTAAAAAACCACGTTTACATTTCTTAAAATAAACTAAAACAGTAGATAGTTAATTAATCCTAATTTATTATTGCAGAATGTAAAATTTTAGAATTTTCCAGTCTATAGTGAATTTTGTTTGTCTAATGTACTTATGTACTTAAGTACCTTTTTTTTTAGCTAATTTGCTGTGAGTTACGATTCTCTGTTGGCATTTGGTTTTTATACACGTGTAACCAAGGTGGATTGAACCAGCGTCTGCATTCACTTTGAAGATGGGCATGCGTGCATCTATACTCTATGGTATCTGGACGGTTTTCATCTATATAATTTTCATAGTATCTTGTGAAGTCAGCACGCTCCCAAATACTCTTCACCCAATCTAATTCGAAATCATATTTCTGGCAAACGCACTCTTCTAATGGACGCATACACACCGGACATGTGTCATCTTTCGCAACTCGAGCTTTACTAACCTTCTTCTTCTTCTTACAACAAAGAGGACATTTATGTTGGGACTTCTTAGCTGGTTTCTTTTCTTTAACATAAACCTGATAACCGCGCATCTTCGTACAATAACAGCAATTGCATTCCTCCCGTGGTGCAGTGCTTCTGCGGTATTCCATGCGCTCAAAGTACCTCTTATAGGCGATTTTAATTTGTGTTTCAACATCGCGTTGTATTTCACATGGTAAAATTTCGAAACGTGAATAACTTTCCGCACTTTTCTTACCGGCATGTATCCAAATACATTCCTCGGAATAAGCTGGCGGACACAGTGGATTATATTCTCTAGGTTTAAAGTAGAATGCTTTAAATCCTCTTTTAACTATTGCATAGGCTAATTTGGCCTCAATGGAATTCATCAAGCAGTTTTTAATCAGCTCTTTGCATAAATCTTCTTTTCTTATTCGTTTTTTTGGAATTGTATCGATGCAGTAACAAACCTGGTCGTAGTGCAGAAAAGCATAAGTAATAGCTGGCACAGCTTTTAGCGCTTTACATTCGTGTAATCCGCAAATGATCATAATTTGTGCTAGTGTATGTGCCAAATCATGAATATTTTCCAAGAAAACCGATTCTGGCGTAAAGTCCTGCAAGCTTTTACAGTAATTTCTCTGATCCAAAACGCCAACAAATGCCCCATGTGGATGTTGTTGTGAACATGGGCAACCTAAAGATTCTCTTAGATCGCGACTCATAGTAGCGAATGTTATTTGTTTTAAATTTTTTAAATTTTTAATTTTAAAGACATCAGACTACCGAAAATTTTGAAACATACCTAAAGTGACAAAATTTTTTCTTATATGGAAAAATTTTGTAATTTTTATGTTTTCACATATTTTCTTCTGATGATAATTTTTTTTAATTCTACAATTTATTTTGAGTATATGTAATAGATTCCTTAGATTTATTGGTTATAAGAACATATTCGACAAGTACGAAAATATTAGAGGTGTTTTATATTTGATAGAGGTAAACATTTTTAAATCATGTGGACCTAGTGTTGGAGTTTAACCTAATAAATACCATTAACATACACAGTTAAAGATCCAACGTATTTAAGTTATGATTTCTTGGTTTAACGAAGTCGTAGGGATAACTTTGTTTGATTTTTTTACGAGTTCTATTTCTGAGTATTTTATTTTGAATACCTTAATATATATTACTATTAGTTTATTATTATTATGAGATTGTTAAAAATATTGGTATTATACAAACTAAGCTCTCTAGACAGAAGCTAATTACTTTAACTTCAACAAACTCTGACGCTCACAATGTTCTCTGGTTTTGGAATCAAGACAACGTTTAACAAAATATACTAAATAATGAAGGATTAATTTCTCAATAATTAGTAGTTTGTCTCTGTGTTTTATAAAATTAACATATGTTCAAAATTCTTCAAATCATAAAGTTTGTGCTGTACATTCAAATAATATAATATGCTATGCTATATATGATTTTTATGATTGAAAATAAAGTACGAATATAGAAACAGTCTGAATTTAAAAGTAGATTCACATGAATAACTTTCATTATCTATTATTTAAAATTTTATAACTATAACGATATTAAAACTATAAGATATACATTTCTTATTTATTCTTTTCATTTTCATTGTAAAATTCTTGTAAATGTGGCGGATCGGTCCAGGTGCCGCAACGATTTTTTCTTTCAATTTCGTTACAAACTTCAATACTTGCCGCGGCTTCCTCTTTCTTTTGTTTAATAGCATCTTCGTAGTAATCAAAAAAGGTTGGATTGTCCCATATAGTATTATCCCATGTGGGACAAATACACTGTTGCTTTAAGCGATGACAAACAACACATTTAGGTGCTTCCCTACGCTCCATGATTCGTTCAGCTTTTGTTCTTTCTTTTGCGCAAAGTTCACACTTTTTGTTGATCTTACACAAAGCCAACTCATCCAATTCCTCCTGTTCGGCTCTATCTGCTTGAAGTTTTTCATACAAATCAATATAATTTTCATAACAATACTCGTCTGATTTCGATTTAATACTGTCTGCGTTTGACTTTCTATACTTCGCACGTTCAAAGAATTGAAATAAAACGATTTGAAATTGTTCCGTAAAGTAGTTATACATATCACAAGTCAAATCCTTATATCCCCACAACTCCTTAGCTATTTGCTCAGAAGCCTTGTACCATAAGTCCAGTTCAAGATCTCCAGGTATACAATCTAGTAACGTTGAGCGATTGTTGTAATATGCCATGAAGCCAATTTTAACTATTTTATAGGTGAACCTTGCTTCATCACGTGTCATCAGACACTTCTTAGTGAACTCAAGCATTAGATCAGATTTTCGTAATTTTATTTTAGTGTCATATCCCTTTTTACAGATTGTATCGTAGTTTAGAATGGCAAATGAAATGTAATCGATGCAGGCCAATGCTTTACCTAAATCTATGCCGGCTACATAAATCACATGAGCCAGAGAGTTCGATAAGTCAATAGCGTTTTCCAGCAGCAAATTTGAATCGTAGTAATTCATTGTTTCACACTTTGTGAGAAGAAGAGAAGTGCGAATGTTTCAACTATGAAAAGAAAAGTCTAGATTTCAAAAATTTTTTTGAATGCAAATTTGGAACGCGTCTACCAAAGAGTATTGAAATTAAGTTTTTTGAACTAAACTATTTATTTACTAAATATTTTCAAACTACTTTTGTAACTAAATTTGGAGAAAGTCTAAATTCTATATTTATAAATATATATATTTTAAGCTTTTTTTTATGACATAAGCTTAGATATATTGATTTCAGATAAATTAAATTTTTTTAGACCATATTTTTATATTTCGTTTTTTAATCTTCAAAATTCCCAAATAATTTGTTTATATTACATTAGTTAAATATTTGTTAAACTATTTGCAGAAAAAAGTTATGAAAAATAAATTAAAAAATTTGCTCAAACTTTATTGTACAAATTTGGGATATAACTTTCAAGTATCTTGTGATATATAGCTGTAGTGTTCAGCAAGGCCTCAATCACTACTATTCGCCAGTTATAAATTGCACAAAGCCATACTCTGAAAAGAAAAGAAAAGACTCAGGGATCTCAAGATTGATACGATCAAAAATTACATAAAGGACAGAGTCCTGAAACGCGTTATCGAATGTCAGAATGGTTACAGGTTCCTCGAGGAAGTACGCAGATCTGAGGTCAGTTATTGCTTAGTTTGATGAAGTGTATGAATAATCCAGTCAAGGCAAAAAGGGGGTTATGAAGAAACCTCGCAGTTAATAGAGACTAATAGTGCTCAAGTGCACTCACTCAACTAGCCTCAACATAATAATAATATAGTTTATTATTATACTATAAAACTAATTCTGCAGACCATCTCATTGATTTAATTTCTTAAATATGACATCATTTTCATATAATTATTATGATCGAAATACTACTCTAATGCCATGAGCTGCTTGATTAATTAATTAATTAAAACGACAAGTAAAGTAAATATCATAAAATATCTTTGCATATAAAAATATGTGATGTACTAAATTTATTGTTGCTGGGTGGAATGGCCTATTAGAGTGGAATGGTAATAAAAAAGCAGCACATGTCAGCAAAAGTGATAAAGCTAGGGAAAAACTTCAGCTTGGAGTGAATCAAGCACCACAAACACTACAAACTAGTTGAAGGGCAAAACGTGCCATTGGAATTGCTGGCGGCCGAACACCAGAGGAAGTCGTCAGTAGCTTTATTGCTCTGCAAATACACAAATATTGTATTTAGCATCAGGACAGCAAAGGAACATTACTATGCATGAGTGAAGAATTAATGATTCTGGATTCGTTTGATAGTGATAGTTAATAGGAGAAGAAGTGTATAAAAGTTTAACGCCAAATTTTCTTTAAAACTTTAAGTTTGAAGAATTTGGGAATGAATTAAGATGAAAAGCTCCTCTAGCAATTTGCACAATTCCTTAAACTCTTAATTCTTTCCTTTTGCTGGGTGTGATAACACATACAACATAACAAAAAATTCTTAAGACGTTTAATAATCGCACTAGGATATGTATGTATAAAATATTAGTATCGCCTTGGGACTTGAGACATTAACCCAAGAGCAAAGAGCAAATAGTCTAAAATATTTGTCATAAAATGCTTTACTGTGTGTTGGCACCGATACTACCAACAACATGGAAATACAAATTGGTACGGAATATTTTTTGTAATATCATAAAATAAGTTACTATCTGAATATAATATGGTGTGTCGTACAAATATTTATACATGAAGTTTATATAATCTACATTTTTACAAAATGAAGGTGGGAACACGTACATGCATTGTTTGTTCAAAGGATATATGAATCTAATTGGATTAGTGGAACGATTCTGTTTTTATTTAAATATAAATAAATATTGGATGTCATTTGCTAGATTATATTTAATAATTACATTACTGCTTTATTGCGGCTATAAAGGCTAATAAAATAATAAAAAAAAGCAATGATTATGACAAATTGGAAAAATAATTTCATTTGGAAAAAAAACAAAAGATCTCAACAATTTTGAAATGGGATGCGTTAACCCAATTGAATTAGGATAACATGAATGAATGAAGATGAATGAAGATTATATGTAAAAAAATATATATTACATACATATAAAATTATTTTATTAATAGTGTTTTTTATTTTTATTAAGAATAACATGAAATTTTTCGAATAAAGTAGATGTAGTTCTTGATTTTACCATAGACATTCCCAGATAAATGAATTATAATATTTTATTTTAAAGATACTTCCATATGCTTTTTAATAAAATTATTTTCAAAATACATCTAAAGTGCAATTTACACCGGGAAAATACAGTTTGTTTCATACTTTGTTCATCTACTTGATTGCTAAAAATCTTGTGTGGCAATATAAAATGTATGGGTGAAAGCACAAACAAAATGAACAAAAACTAAAATTTCTTTTTTAAAACTTTCAAAATTTTTAAATTTTCTATACGAACTCGCACTCAAATTGAATTTTTTCCATATTTTCCAACAGCATTTTACATAAACAGAAATGTGTTTATACACCTTTTGATAAAATTTTATTTAGAAAATATAGCATTATATTAAAAATGAAACTATTTCATATATCTTAATTTAATTTAACACTTTTTCATATTTTTTATGATTAATTTTTAGAATTTATATCATAGATAATTTAATGTAGCAGTCATGTTTTTATTATATTTTGTTATTTTATTGAAAATATATGATGACACAAAACATCTATACTAATTTTCCGAACCTTCTGCATTTTGCAAAATTATGTTATTTATTTTTTAAAATGAAAAAAAATATTTTCTCTTTAAATACAAAAATATTGATTTCTTTCTGTACTCCAATTTTTAATAAAAGATGGGCAGACTCAACGATATGCAAAAATCTGTATGCAATCCAGCCACTTTATATTAAAATTAATCCAAAATTCTCATTGTGATAAATATCTATTTCAATTAAACCTATCGCAGGCATGGGGAAAACAATAAAAGTGATTCCGATCTGCTATGTCTTTGGCCAGCTTGTGTGCGTCGCCGATTTAACACTTTTAGAGCCCCTTTTTGTGACGATCTAACATAAATACCAAAATTGATTAAATGTTTTTACCAAGTTTTGCAAACTAAAGCTTTAAATCTAAGAAACTTGGTATTTTATTATTACTATTATTGACCAATATTTTGGCTAATATTGAAGTCGTCAGTATCAATCACTAAACCTTTTGCTTCACTTTCACTGGTAGTCAGATAACATTTTGGCTGAAATAAAAACAATAACATAAGCAAAGTGACAGCTAATATCAAAATTACAAAGAAAAGTATAAAAAACCAATATTTGGTGGTTAACTGCATTAAAAACAGAACAGAAAAAAACACAGATTAAAGAAACCACGTGAAGAACTAGTAAGACTGAATTATATTCAGTACGAAAGTGAGGCAGATTCACAGCGTAGTCTATGCAACCTCAAAAACGCGGAAGACGTCAAGTATTTTATAGCAGACTACCCAACTCAACGCTAAGGAACCATTTTATCAGCTCAACAGGGAAAACTGAAAAACACCTTACAGATACATAGTACTAGCACTAATCTTTAGAGAAGAATATTAGAGGAACATTTTTGAATTTATGCTTAAGACTTAATTATAAATTGTAACAAAAGTTTAATGTTAATTGAAAGGAAACTCTAGAAGAACTCTTGAAGAGACATTCTAGTAATAGTCTTGTAAAAATCTTTAAGCATCCAAATATGGAATTGGAAGAACAGAATAATTACAATATACTACTATTACTACACCAAATACAGAAAAAAATTTTTGTTTGAAAAACACTTTGATAAACATTTCCCATAATGTTCATTAGATGTTTAATTATATTTATAAACATTGTAAATATTTAGGCAAAATGTTGTAATCATTCTCGGTACATATAAAATGTTGACCAATAGGATTGTTATTGTTTCTTACCGTTTATATGTTGCATTTACAAGATTTACTTTTTCGAAATGATTAAAATTATTTTAACTGACAAACATAAAATAGAACAAAATTAGTAACTAAAAACATGACAGAGTAGCTATTAATACGATAGAGAAAAAATATAGAAGATAGTGAAGATAATGAAATAAATCTTTTGGACCTTTTTTTATTTGAACCTTAAAGTATATACCATATCTATGAGCGGTCTATGTAGGTGGTCTTCTTTTAGTAGAATTTTACAAAATGTGTTCACTTAAAAACTTAGTTGAATGGCAAACCAACCATATCACTTTTTGTCAACGCTAATTTGTAACTATGTAAGTCACTAATTAGTGATCTTTTAAAATCTTTATTCAATATTTGTAAATGCTCTATTTCAGTAACAACTGTCAAACATGACTTATTCAAGATATCCTGTGTTGAGTTAAAGGTTCGGTATTTACAAATATGGATCTTTGGCAACCACTAAATGTATGGATATTGTGAACAATTCTAATGATGAGCCTTATTTTTCGCTTAATTTATATGCCAACAAACAAAACT